TGGACATTGCTGCTATAAACATCGGGGGGCAGGTGTCCCAGCATTTCATTACATCTGTATCTTTGGGATAAATCCCCAGCAGTGCAATTGCTGGTGCAGCCACTCTGGAAAACTGTGTGGAGGTTCCTCAAAGAGTTAAAAATAGATCTGCCTGCAGTCATTTTATTGTACCTTTCCAGTACCTTTCCTTGAGAAATCTTTATCTATGTCAGGGTTACTTTTGAAACTCCAAAGTGGTGCTCCATAAATCTGTCAGTTGAACATACTCTATTCATACCTGTTCAAGCTGGGTATGCCATGAGGCTATCTACAGGCTTACCTTCTGGAACTGCAAAGGATGGCCATGGATGATATGTGGCTATGATACCATCCAGTGCTCACATTTTTGAGGCTCTCTGGCTTCCAATGCACTTGTTCCCCCAAAGTTGCTTCCACTTTTCCATCTGGGATAGTCAAAGGAGAAAGACAGGCTCTTATACACCAGGCATGAAACAGCAGACTGCTTTTACCACACCCAGACAACTGTGTAGTAGATTATCTTACTGGTTTGTGGCTGCATGATATGCAGATGCTTGATTGGTTTGCAGCTTCTGCCCAGGGCAGGAGAAAGGAATATCACCCTAAGTTTACCTGTAAAATAACCAAAGAAATAAACAGCGCTTATAATGCTATATCACATATTTTTTACAGATCTCATGGAGTCCTCACTTTATTTTATTTTTTTTGTAATTTATTTTTTATTTTTTATTGGAGTTCAATTTGCCAACATATAGCATAACACCCAGTGCTCATCCCGCCAAGAGCCCCACTCAGTGCCCATCGCCCAGTCACCCCCACCCCCCGCCCACTTCCCTTTCCACCACCCCTTGTTTGTTTCCCAGAGTTAGGAGTCTCTCATGTTCTGTCTCCCTTTCTGATATTTCCCACTCATTTTTTCCTCCCTTTCCCTTTATTCCCTTTCACTATTTTTTTATATTCCCCAAATGAATGAGACCATATAATGTTTGTCCTTTTCCGATTGACTTATTTCAGAGTCCTCACTCTAGTCCAATTTCCCTTTTTAGGGTAGAAAGCTTCTGTAATTTCTCTCAGAACGAACTATGACTTGGCACTTCATCTGAGAAAAGCTGTAAAGCTACGATTCTCTACTTTGGAAGTATTCTCAGTAGAAAAGAGCGATGGAGTCATTCTTTGGTGTCATCACTTTTGTCTGTATTTATCTTTTCTATCGTGATTTCATCTTTATGTATCATATTTCCTAATTTAGACTCTTTCTGAGTGAGGGCTTCTGGTTCTGGCATGTGGATGCTACATAAACCAGACAGTAGCAGGAGCCTGCCTGGGATCTTCTCTTCTGTTCAGGAAGAGGTGCAGGGTTAGAAGAATAAAGTATAGCAGGATTATCTCAATGCTAGACAATATACAGGGGCAGTATTAGCATGGCCAGTGAGGTGAGGGTGACATCTAACCCTAGATTCCCTTTGGAAGACATAAAGACAAGTTCAAAACAAAGAAGTAGTATCTTGCCCAGCTATGTCCCATCATCTGAAACATGATAGGAACCCTAACCCTGGGACTCAGACTTTGTGAGGCAGGAAAGACAGAGAACTATGTCCAGGCTCTTCTTTAGCTCCCTCTCTCCTACTTCTGCTGCCTAGAAGCTTTCCACAGCATTTCTCCTTTATTGATGCATATACTCAGATGAAGCGTATACTTATCTAGAGTGAGTTAGATTTTCATGTTCTTATCATACCTTTATTATATTAATAATAAATGTTTTAAGTGCCCATTCCTGTTTCCAATTAAAGCTGCTGCACTATGGGGAAGGGAGGAAATGATATGTCCATAACATGCTATATTGCACGATCCATTTTTTGTACAATGGCCATAAAGAAGTGACCCTAGTTTAAGGGTAATATTGAATTCTCATTTAATGATAATTTTTCCAAAAGCACGCTTAAGACCTGAAATAAATTTCTCTCTGTTCTAAGTCTAGAAATACTTATTTTTCAAACATATATGCTTTTTATTTAGAAGTACCCTTCTCTGAAGAAAAGTTTTCCTTAATTCTCTCCTTGTTCACTGCTATTCCCATATTAGATTTTGTCTTCTGTGTTTTCTCTGCTTTGTTCTCCACCTCCCCTCCTGAGAATATGTGCTTTAGGCTCTAGGTTCAGGTGGCTAAATAGCCTTAGCCTCTGTGAGCTGTGGGAAGGCAAGAGACAGGATAGAGCTTAGGGCCATAAAAATAGCCTCTGGAGCCTCTGAAGGTCTGGGGGTAGGTGGTGCAGTAAATAGTCATAAATAGCAGCAGTGGAGTACAGCCTCCTCAAACTGGTCAGTCTGCTTAGGAGGCAAGAAAATTATGAAGATGGGAATGATGAAGCATGTAGGCCTTCAGATATTGAATATTCAATAAAAGCAGGGAGAAAGAATTCTCCTGGTAGGACTATAGCAGGCCTGATGCTACAGATTCAAATTCTACTAATTTCTCCAAATCTGATGCATCACTGCTTTTTTTTTTCTTTTCTTTTCTTTTTTTTTTAAAGTAAGCTCTGTGCCCTGTGTGGAGCCTACCACTGGGCTTGAACTTACAACCCTGAGATCAAAATCTGAGCTGAGATCAAGAGTTGGATGCTTAACCAACTGAGCCATTCCAGGTCCCTCTGTATCACTACTTTTATGTAGAAGCAAAGTTTTTCTAGTATAAGCTATACCCTTCCCATTTAGAAAAGCTGAGATCGGGGTGGCTGTTCTTGAGTAAATCTGTATCTTCATTATTGCTTATGGCAGCTAGAGACCAGGAGTCGATATTCTCAGCTGCAATCAGGCACCCTACAGAAAATTGCTGGAGAAGCACCAGATGGGATAGAACCAGCAATCCCAGTTGCCTTAATTACTTCTTCTGGGCCTCTCCCTCTCATCCTGCCTTGTCTCCCAATGCTCCTTCTTGCTTCTCTGGCTAGAATAGGTTTTCTATTAGCATGCTCCCTGGAAGACTGAGTATAGAGTTGATTCCTTATTTTTGATTCATTGATCCAGGAAAAATAGCATAATGACCAATTGAAAATGAAGCAGATGGGCTTATAGGAATAGATTTATTTCTTTAAGGTAACTGGAATCTGGTTGTAGGTAAGTTTATGTGGTTTGACTAACAGGATAAATTGTTTTTGTCTGGATTTATGTCTGAAGCTATAGCTATTACCTAATTCTGATTCTACTCTCTGAACTTCTACTTTTTTTTTTTTTTGCCACACTTTGTTAATAAAACCTAATTACGGGCCCCAAATCTTATGTGGAAGAACAGTATTCCTATAGACCACATTTAGAGATATCTGGACATTCTGATGTTCTTTGTTGAATAATGACATCGACTCCAAAATAATTAAATCACATTTCTGCTTTAAGGTAGGAGTCAGGGCAAGAGTGATGATCTAACCTGAGTCAAGGAGGTAGGGGTTACTGGAAAGTCCTAGTCTCTGATAGAGGCATCTGTGTTACCTAGGTTGGGAGCTCTGATTGTGTTGATTATCTCTGTCCTTAATGATTCTCATCTTGAAATTTGAAAGATCAATTTACTAAAGAACCTCTAAAGGAAATTTGATGGGGAGTGTTGAAAAGGAAAATAAAAACTGTAAATTTGAGATGACCAAGAGCTAAGTGAATGGAATTTCCCTAAATAACCCAAATTATAGATGCCATTTGCAATAAAAAAGTGAACTCATGTTAAGCAAAATAGAAAGAGGAATGTTTAGTTTTGCAGAACTCTAGACCTTTGATGTCCAATACAGTACACATCCAGTTCACATGTGGCTACTGAACACTTGAAATGTGGCTAGTCATAATTAAGATGTGCTGCATGTATAAAATGTACCTGATTTTGAAGACATAATGCAAAAACAAGAACAGAATGTAAAATAGCTCTTTAATACTTTTTCATATTGATATATGTTGAAGTGATAATATTGTGGACTTTTGAGGAAAATAACATATTATTAAAATTAATTTCATGTGTTTCCTTTGAATTTTTTAAGGTGGCTACTAGAAATGTAAAATTACGTATATGTCTCACAATATCTTTCTGTTGGAATTGCTGCTATAGATTAAGTAGCAAATATGGAAACTGATAATGTATTAGGCAAAATAGAGGAACAAATTTATTTCTTCCACTTTCAAAATATGCCTTCAAATATTTACACCTAAATTACCTTCTTACCTCTCAGAAAAGGCAGGAAAGTTGGCTCTAGGAGAGTCTAACAGTCATTAGGACCACCACCATCGTTGAGAAAAAATTAGCTTGTTTTGGGCATCCTTAGAGTGGGGAAAACAAAGTGTCACTGAACATGTTGCTCAATGTTCTGAGATAAGCCTTAGTATGGCAGCCATATAAAAAGTTACCTCAGAAGTGTCTTAAATACTCAAAACTGGTTAGGGTGTATCCAGGAACCCATGTGAACCTGCTCATTCTGGGTTTGTGACTGCCAGAGAATCCATGTGGAGTCAGATAAAGACAGCAGTTGTTGCTGTACTTCACTCTTGAGTAGTATTGTTGGACCAAAATTGCTAACTCCTGCAATTTCTTGTTCTTACTCAAACTGCCTGCCCAAGACATTAGAAGACTTTTTCATACCTTGTTATCTCAAAGTCTATTCTTTTTTAGACTTCTCTAAGATGCTATTTCTTATATAAATGGTAGGAACTCTATTGAAGTCTTTAGGTATTTCATGGTGATGCACCTAGTCTTGATTTCTCCTTTGTCTGTGATGTCCTCTCTTGGAAGAACAGGGCCATGAATTTGTGTAGGACCTATGGTTGATATTCTTTAACAGCAGAGCCTACATAGGTGTTTTGGTACAGAAGGAGTACCAGACACTTATTATAATTTTTGAATGGTTCTTTGAAAAATAAGTTATCTATGTGAATAGATATTCACATTGTTTGGATGGATTTTTTTCCTGTCTCCCCCTTCAGGGATTTCTGGAGTGTTAATCACTGAAGTAATGATCAGAACACTTTACATGGCACCACCCAGCAACTACTCCACTGCTCCAGTTTCTGAATTCCTCCTCATCTGCTTCCCTAACTACCAGAGTTGGCAGCACTGGCTGTCCCTGCCCCTCAGCCTCCTCTTCCTCCTGGCCATGGGGGCCAACGCCACCCTCTTGATCACTATCCGGCTGGAGGCCTCTCTGCACGAGCCGATGTACTACCTGCTCAGCCTCCTCTCCCTGCTGGACATCGTCCTCTGCCTCACTGTCATCCCCAAGGTCCTGGCCATCTTCTGGTTTGATCTGAGGTCCATCAGCTTCTCTGCCTGCTTCCTCCAGATGTTCATCATGAACAGTTTCCTCCCCATGGAGTCCTGCACATTCATGGTCATGGCCTATGACCGCTATGTGGCCATCTGCCACCCATTACGATACTCATCGATCATTACTGACCAATTTGTAGTTAGGGCTGCCATCTTTGTTGTGGCCCGGAATGGCCTTCTTACTATGCCTATCCCCATACTTTCTTCCCGGCTCAGATACTGTGCAGAGAACATCATCAAGAACTGTATCTGTACTAACTTGTCTGTATCCAAACTTTCCTGTGATGACATCACCTTCAATCAGCTCTACCAGTTCGTGGCAGGCTGGACCCTACTGGGCTCTGACCTCATCCTAATTATTCTGTCCTACTCCTTCATCCTGAAAGCTGTGCTAAGGATCAAGGCTGAGGGTGCTATGGCCAAAGCTCTAGGCACCTGTGGTTCTCACTTCATCCTCATCCTCTTCTTTAGCACAGTCCTGTTGGTTCTGGTCATCACTAACCTGGCCAGGAAGAGAATTCCTCCAGATGTCCCCATCTTGCTCAACATCCTGCACCACCTCATTCCCCCAGCTCTGAACCCCATTGTTTATGGTGTGAGAACCAAGGATATCAAGCAAGGAATCCAGAAGCTACTTAGAAGATTTTAAGAAGTAAAATGAGTAAGAACTCACCTGGGGAATTGAAATTGATAATGGGGAATAGTTTTCATAATACATAGGAAATTTAAAGTTACTATAGGAATAAGTTTGGAATTTACATTCTCCAAATTTTCATTGATTATGGAGATATTCATATCCTGACTCTTTTTTTTTTTAAACCTGCACTGACTGGAACCTTAGTTTTTTGCGTTCTAGAGTTACCTGAAGTTTCCCTTAGGCTCATCTGTGTGAGAGAGAATGGTCAAATCATAATTACAGGAACTTAATTAGAATGATACTGCTTTTCAAATGAAGAAAAAAATGGTATTCTAGTCACTTTCAGTGCCTCTCAGTTTCCTCAATTGCTTAATACTTAAATATGTGTTAGGTCTTTTGGTTCTATCTGCCACAGTTCAAACTGGTTTTGTGTCATGAATGAGTCGCCTCTGGAAATACAGAAGTTGTCTCTAGGACTTTGATTCTTTTTTTTTTTTTTAAGACTTTGATTCTCATAGTGAGGGAATGACATGTGTCACCCACTGCCTCCTCTAAGCCCTGCCAGATATTGTTAATGTATTTATCTAATGCCACTTCTCTGGAGTATGAATTTCCTGTAGTTCCTTACTTATTTTTAATGAATTAAACAATTTTCACAAGATGACTCATTTTTGTATGTGTGCACTTTGCTTTAAGCAGAAGTGTGTGTCCTGTTTTCAGATGTGCTTTACTAACTCGTGTTTTCATCCTCTCCTATCTGACTTTTTCCATCAGATGTCAGGCACTATCTGCATCCCCACTTCTTCCTGCTTATCTTAGATAAACAATTAAATTGACTTATTCATTCTACTTTCATCTCTGCTGTGTCAATCTCCTGTGCTGGTGCCAACACAGTGTCCTATGGGATCCAGGCACCTGTATTAGTGGGTTATTTGAACAAGGAAGGTGTGTTTAATTCTTTGCAATTCTCTTCCTGATCATGCTCTGTAAATGGTGGGGACTCAGACAATATTTCCTGGAATTATTTTACATTGGCAACATCCTCTTTTGGATACCGAGAACTTCCTCCTCACATATAAGAGCCATTTGAGAATGTCTTCTAACATAGCTGATCTATGATAAAGCTAGTCATTCTTGGAGGATTTATAAACTAATTTATCATTACTATAGTATTGTCTTTCACCAAAGTGATAGCTTTAATCCATTCTCTCTTATCTGTTCACAGCTCCAAAGACTGATCCCAACCAAAGTATAAACTTCTCAAACAGTATCCTATTCACACATCATTCCAGTTGCTCCTAGCTCATTATTTTCAAATTATACCCATTGATTTTTTTTTTCTTAAGGACAATGCTCAAGAATCTTCTTCCACAAAGAAAACCATTACCAGTGTCTTCATTTGATAAACTGCAAGTTTACAAACCTTCCCTTTATTCACCCCAGTGGAAGTAATCTGATAATCTTGAACAACATGCTTATCTTCTGCTGATACTAGATTATGAATTCCTAAGTCTGTTGAGAGTTTTGTTCATCTTCTTGACTTTATATACTTAGGGCTGCCAACACAATTATTTATATATTTTAGTTATTTTTGTTGAACTAAAATGAATAATTCATACATGCACATTTTGTTTCCTATTTCCTCTGAAAACTTCTTAGAAGAAGGATCAAGTTGTTAATATAATGTATTCTCCAAGGCACTTTGCAAAAAAAAGCCTTACATAACTCACAGTTCAATGTGATTTTATATAGCATAGAACCTAAGACTGCTTCTTTTGGAGGAGATACAAATGAGTATTTATTTGAATCCCAGGTATTCCAATCTGGTCACTGACTAGATGTGTAACTTCTGACCCACTGATCTGAGCTCTCATTTTCTCATTTAAAAAGAGTGGTAACTGACCTTTAATTATATAATTATCTGATTATTGGGTGGCCTACTCTATGGAAAGTTTTTCAATCAGAGACTAAAACATGCTAATAACTTGTAAATGGGAACCCATTTTACTATCTCCTATAAACATTGATTTCTCTCATGTATTCAAAGGAAGATGCTCTTCATTATTTTATACATCACGATGTATTTCAGGAATGTTCTGTCCTGCCCTGTGTGTCATTCCTGGTCCCCAGTGCATCACTGTCTTATAAAATCCTTTTCTTACTTGAAGTTCATGGTGTTGTGCCACGGCATCCTGAGTCATTCCTTGTTCTAAGTCATCTTTTAAAACCTTGGTCCTGCTGCCTCATTTCAGATGTTGGTAGTTGCCTAACAGTCTGGAATGGATCCAGACTAAAAGCACTTCTCTTCACAATGAAAGACTGTAGGCTTCTCAAGTGAGCCATGAGGAACATGTAATCACAGATTCACCACATGTATTTCTATGATTTTTCTTGTTACTATTTCATTTTTATAATTTAGAAATTGTATTTCCACAATTTTTCATGTTACTGATTCATTTAAAAAGATTTATTAAAGTAAATAAAATTTAATTTTGTTAAAATAACATCTTAATTTTAATTTCATGTTACTATTTCATTTTTAAAATTTCAAATTTCATTCAAAATGAAATATGAATTTACAGAAAAAAATCAAATTTTCTATAGTTTACCTCTTGAAGCACACAGTAATATTTGGTAGATTCTCCATATTGGCCGTCATTTCTTTCTTTCTTTTTTTTTTTTAATCTTTGGATATCTAGGGTTTTATATCTAGAGTGATTTTAGAGTCATCAAATCTAGAATCCTCTTGGAATTTACACTAAAGATTATTTGATAACTAAACATTCAAGATTTGCTTAATTTAATATGTTGGCAAGAAACTATCTTGTAGCACATTGGATAGAAAACCTTATTTTTGTTTGGGATTTTAAAAATCCTCTCACTTGTCTGCAATTTTTTTCCTTGGGCCCATATGGAAACTTTCTGGTAAGTTAAATTTCTAGTATTAGCTTCAGTCATTTTAACAGCATTCCATTTAGGTGCTTGTAGGCTTGATACCTCTCAAAGAGGTATATTGCTCACTGTCTTTCTAAATAATTTCTCATTTCCCTCTAATGTGCTTTCTCCTTTTTAAGTTCTATTAGGTTAGTATTTGTTACTCATCTTTGCTTTTCTTACCAAGTCAAGCAGAATAACAAACCTGTAAAAGGTGTTTAGCAAATGCGTATGTGATAGATTAACAAAATGTAGAATGAAGCATATAATAAAATAGAATGTGGGAGGTAAATTTTATATTGAGGAATATGGTACTAAATGTCTGATATCTCTTACAGAGAAATACTCCAATGCATGGGATTTTAAGATGCTTTGGGTGAAGTGGTATAAACCTCTAGTTTTCTCTTTCTTTTCGTATTTAAATGCATACATCTTTCCTTCATCTTTGGAAGTGTGTGGATCTGTGTAAGTATGTGTGTAGGCTTAGGAGGATTCTAGATTTGATGACTCTAAAATCACTATAGATATGAAATCCTAGATATCCAAAGATTAAGAAAAAAGAAATGACAGCCAATGTTGAGAATCTACCAAATACTATGTTTGTGTAGGATGTAATACTTCAGGGAATGGTGACCATGAGGACAGGAAACTCAAGGCATCTCTATTTTCTTTTGATCTACAAGAAAGACAACATTACAACTTTAGCAATTTCATGGAGCCCAGCCAAGAACATACAGCAACAAGAAGTTGAAGAGTCACATGCTGGAAGCAGACTACTAGCTGAATAAGTTATCTACTTAGAGGAAAGTTACACAATACCTTCAAAATATCCATTTAAAGGCTTGGCACAAGATAAGTCAGAGAAAAACAAGCACTGAATGTATCACTTATATGTGGAATCTAAAAAAAAAAAATCAAACCTGTATAAAACAGAAAGTAGAATGGTAGTTACCAGGGAATGGAGAGTGAGGGAATAATATTGATAGTGTTTAAGGGTATAAACTTATAATGAATCATAAATAGCCCATAGAGATCTAGTGCACAGTATAATCAATACAAATAACAATAATATTGTACCATAATTATGTAACATGATAAATATTGCTCCAACAGCATAATGCAATATATAAATGTAGCAAAGTAATACTTTCTATATACCTTAAATTTATGCAATGTTATATGTCAAATTTATTCAATTTAAAAAATGTCTTAGCAGAAGTAATACTTTGTGTTAGGGTTTCCATTCCACCCTGAATATAAAAGAATGAGAATGCACCTCTTAGATATTGGTGTTTGAGAACCCAAAGATACAAAGATTATTATGCACCAGACATACACTATTCCATCAGACACATTATTCCACTACACAAAATTTTGGTGGAATGTCTTTAAGTTAGCCCCAAATATGTAAAGTGTAGCTCAGATCTGCATCTAGAAGTGATGCTGAATGGAGAAACCAAGAAAGGAAAACTATTATCCAATTTTGAGATGTAAGTGTCAGGGTTTTTAATTTTTTTTCTGCACCAGATGATGAGTGTTCAAAAATGTCTGAGATTGGGGAACCCTGGGTGGCTCAGCGGTTTAGTGCCTGCCTTTGGCCCAGGGCATGATCCTGGAGTCCTGGGATCGAGTCCCATGTCGAGCTTTCAGCATGGAGCCTGCTTCTCCCTCTGCCTGTGTCTCTGCCTCTCTCTCTCTCTGTGTCTATCATAAATGAATGAATAAATCTTAAAAAAAATGTCTGAGATTTTGTCATTTTTCCTCATGAACTTTGGTATTACCAAGGAAGATGTCAGTTACATTAAGAACTACAGCTCCAAAAAAAAAAAATTAAAAAAAAGAACTACAGCTCCAAGTTGAAAGATAAAGTTGGAAAAGAGATAGCTGTAAAGCTTTAAACATTGTTTGGAGAAGAGTTTGTCAACTTGAAGGCATAGGGACAGGGAGATACTGGTGCTCAAGTAATGAGAACAGTGGCGTAATGAGAACAGTGGCCCTTCTGATGTCTAACACTGAGTAAAATTGTGTCCAGAGCTGGACTAGCTAAGGCAAGAATAAGATTAGGTTAACTTAACCTA